CAATGACAATGACAATGATAATGATAATGATAATGATAATGATAATGTCTTTATTATATATTTCAGCCAGGAATCCTTTAAGCTCCTTGAAGCCCCTCCACTATTTATGCGTTTATTACTGGATGATGTAAGATCTACTTGGTGGTCACTAAAGTTAAATGTTCACGTCTCTTTCTCTCTTTCTCTTTGACTTCTTCTCAATCCACCAGTCTTGGAATCATTACCATCTTTATACCGAGCGCATTCTCGATTTGAGTACGGGCATCTGGAACTCGTACCCATGCAAAACCTAGGACGGTGGGATTGTCGCGGTGATCAGACTTCTGCTTCGTTGCTTGATAATCTCTTGCGCTCAATTAAGATCAGTTAAGACCATGATAAGGCAGTGTAATAGTGCTTCATGTACTGCTCTGGTTATTGTCTTGTGATACTATGAAAGGCTCGCGGCCTCTTCATAATTTGGGGTTTAAACTACCAAGCAAAACATTTTTCCAAAGACAAAGCAATAATATGGAAGAAATGGGAAACTTTTTTTGTAAACTGTGGCTACGGTAGAGCCCCGTATTGAAAAGACTCTCTTTTGACCTAAGGAAATATCCATAGTCTGTGATTGCTAGCAAAAACAAAAAAATTTGAGTGACGGTTTTTGTTTTTGTTTTTTTTGGTGGTCGCAACAGCACAGGGTTTTTACTGCACTGAAAGAAAGATAAGATCTTACCTCGTAACTAAGGGACCAAGCTGAACTGGACATAGCCGTCCTGTAGCTAATTTGACTGTTAGAAAAATCATGTTATGAATAAGTAGATTATTAATAGATAGAACATTTAGGAAGACAACATCAACTGCAGCACACAAATTAAGAATTCAAAAAGGAATTAGTTAATTACTTATAACGAGTTCTCCTTTTCTGAACGCACTTGGGTGGGAAAAGCAGACCTTATAATTTTTTTTATTAAACCGAAAAAAGGACAAAGCCATTACAAAGCCTCCTCTAGTGATCTCTGCAATATGTTTGGTAAATACAATACAAATTATCTCAATGTGGTTTAAGAAACTCGATTAACAACCGTATACTACCTAAGCCTGGAACATAATACTTAAAGTGCAGCTTCTCCTGTAATGGCGCCACTTAATGGATGCCAATGGAATTCTCTGCCTCAAGATGCAACTGTCTGGTGGGGGTTTTTAAAAAAAAAGGGATCGAAGCCCACTTTTCCTCTCTGGGATCGCACACTTCTTTCGAGTAAATCAGTTGATTTTTGTACGTTATATATTTTTATATTTTTCTAAAAGTTCGCAACTGATGATATTCCGTGTTTGAATAAAGATAAATAACAAAAGATGAACAAAAAAGGACATACTTGCAAGGCTGAGGGCATTTTGATGAACAACCAAGTTGATCGTTATCATATTGTTTCTGGAGATTTTGAATGCATTCCACTGATGAACAAAATAAAAAAAGTAGAGTTCGCATCAGTCAAAATTATAGATCTTAAATAATATTGCAATAGGTAAATATTTAAAATAATATTCCCTCAAAAATCTAAAAACAAAATTTCAACATTATACAGAATAAACCCAATGTGAAAAATCAAAAGAAACGTTAAGCTTACTCAAGGCAAAGCGAGACCACGACACATAAATTGATAAGTTAAGTTACAAATTTACAATATTTAGAGAGGAAGTCAAATAAGCCCTAGATGGTTTCCATGCAGGTCCTCTATCCTGGTGGAATTGCAATTTGGAGATGACTTTTGTTGAATTTTGTCCAGGGTTTTTGTGGAGGGAGGAAAACCAGAACCGGAGAAAAACCCTGTGAGCAAGGCGAGAACCAACAACAAACTCAACCCACATATGGCAGGGGACCGGAATCGAACCCAGGCCACATTGGTGGGAGGCGAGTGCTCTCACCAATGCGACATCCCTGTTCCCATCTCTGCTTTTAGGGTCCATTGTAAATCTAAAGACAAACATTGCATTACCATCAGAAATTTCGGAACAGATTCCTGATACAGTCCGGAATTTTCCTTCGGTGCAATTACACTCCTTTTCTTGTGCACGAGCGAGACAAGAGTACATACAGCCCTGAACAGAGAAATAAAAACCTACATTGTCGCCAGAGCACTGACTTCATGAGTGATTTATACGATATATACGGAGATCTGTTTGAAAATTGGCACGAATGTGTCACAGATGTTCTTACTGTAAGTAATTAGGTGGGTAAGTCAGTAACTTTTTTACACATGATTAAAAATAAAAGCTAAAAAGCTATTGGGGTCGTGAGGTCTATATTTCTTAACGATATACTGGTCATCCATATGACCATTGATTCTTATCCATGTGACCACTGATTCTCAAAAAATACTGGATAAAGTGCTTACACTACGAATTATCTTACGACAAAATGAATGTGAGAAATTGCCCCAAGCTTGATTCTAGAATAAACTACCGATCATGATGAACTCTACTTTGAAAAGATTATAAGGAGCCTACATAAACGCATTACATGTCTGGGAGTTTCTATGATCTAGATAACTTTCGTTACAAAATCGAACGAAAACAAATGGAATGAAAAGATGGCAAACCTGCACGGAATACTTTGAGCCTTTGAAGTGTCTGTAAACGGAAAATTCCTCTAAATCGTCATTTTTATGACAACTTCCGTTGTTAAAAGGATCCACGCGGATAATTTTCAACTGTGGAAAAAGATAGCAACAGGTTTACCGAAGTTGAGCACGTTTAGGAGTTTGCTGCACAAATAAAATGCTAGGTTGACTGAGTGTTTGCAAGATTCGGCACAGCACGGCTATGCTTTAACAAGAGAAGATGAACTCTCTTGGTTTTGTTAATTAGTCATTGCAGACTTCTGTCTGTTTGCGTCTGCCAAAAATAACGAGAGCACTGGAGGAGTGAAGAAAACACTTCTCATTGCTCTATTTCCTCTTTGGGCTCTTCCCAGGCTATTGCCCGGGGAGATTCCCATGTAAAGAGTACGAAGGTGCTCGTCGAACCTTTAAGGGGTTAAAAAAGCAGTTTTGGTATGTCTAAGGGTGTTAAACTTTCAATGGTCCACGCTGACAGCTTTTGAGGTACCCTTAAAAATATGAGACTGGAGGTAATGTGTTGTTTTAGAATTGGTACGTACCTCTTAGGGGTGAAAAACATTTCAAGCCGCGCACACAAAACAGAATCTTGGTACCACTTAGCTGGTTGTTTTCAAAATTTGCGACAAGACACCTTATCCTTTTTATATGGGAGTGCCCCATCCCCTCTCCCCGTAGGGCTATTGCCGATCATCCTTCATGTTTAATTTCTTTCATGTTCTCAAATGCCTGCCTTGTTTGACAAAAAGGTGATTTCTTGCTTTGACGTCTTTAATATTGTCACTGAAATAGAACTCGTAACAAAATATGTTTATTAAGCAAACCTTTCGCAAACCAATAGACGTTGCAAATCCTGGAGAGACAGTGAAGCCCTCGTCGACAGGGAAAGTAATACTTCGTTCAGCAGTGAGTAAAACACGAACGCCGGCCTCCTGGCTAAGACTGGGAATGTACTCTTCTTGATTCACAAATAAATCTAACGTCAGACCTGAGGAGAAAGAGAATGTCACGATCTAAATATTAGTGAAAGCCTAGCTTTTAAGCATTCACTGAGATATGTTTTGTCCGTTTTTGTGAGTCAATGTGAATTTCACTCAATGATATGTCATTATTGACCTGTTTGATTCAAGTTGATCAGGAGTCATAAATGTCCTCCTTAAGTTCATTCGCACTTCATCAAGTTTGATTTGCAATTAACTCCCCTGTCAACTTCCAGGGGAGACCAAAGCACAAGGCGAATAGCCTTTTTTAGTATCTTTAGAAGCGGCTATTGTTGAATCACACAACCTAATTTTGATTTCAAGAGGTCCTTGATCAACCGGGAAGAAAAACAAATTTCCGGCCATATGAAGTAACCATACCAAACAAAACAAACAAATAAACACACACAACCAAACAAAAAACAAACAGGCAAACGTTTACGTAGTCTCAGGGTAACATTATTATAAAACGACTTTGAGTAATATTTAATTCGATTAATTTTCATACCATATCTTACCGTAGTTTGGGCCGGGCTTTGTGCTAGTCAAAATAGGTATCTTTTTCCCTTCGCCTGTTGCTCCAGAATTAAATGTGTAGCAATTTCCGTATCTCCAATTCCACGTACGTTTCCAGTACTTCATAAAATCACTACATCCATGAGATAAAATACAGGCACGCAATACGTCATAACTGGGCTACAAGTTTTGACTGCTTGCGGATGCCACGCTGGCACTAAACTCCTAATCAGTATCGAGTGTTTTGGGTTTGAGCGCTACTAAAAAGTGGAGCCACTGTGTTGAATTCTTAGGCAAGGCACTTTCCTCCCACAGTTCCGTCTTCACCCGGATAATTAAATGAGTACCGACGAACTAAATGCGGTGGGCTAATTAACCCAGGGGAAAACACACATCTGGTCACTTTGCACTACGGGAACCAGAGAAAAGCGCTGAGCTGATGGGTCACCAAGCCCAAACATACATTTGAGAATTTGCTGATACATCAGTATAAAGTTTAAGACTATGGGATAGTTGCGGACACTTTGCTGTGTTCTGACCACACCCATCTTTTTATACGTTGAATATTATAGAGTAATCAATAAAATTTTGAAGACGCATACTTACCCATGTTTACAAGAAAAATCTTTCCAGTTACAGCGGAACACCAGCTCATGAAATTTATGTCCTCCTCTCTCTAATTCGCTTTCGTTATGCTTGGCTAACATGCTTAAAATCAGATCTTGAGCGTACGCCTGTTCATCAACCGTTACGTTATTTAAACTCGATGACTCTTCAGCACCTGAGGAGTCTATCTTTAAAGATTTCTTCATGGCCTCTTTTCGTTTATCGGGTGGACCAAATGAATCTGGAGCATTGTTTGTGCCTGAGGAATTGGGTGGTGGACCTCCTGGGCCGCCCCCTCCCCCTCCTGGTCTTTCGTCTTTTCTTTCTATGAAACTGTTAAACTGACTCATGATGGCTTTAGCTTCAGGAAATCTACTGATGAAGGACCTCCTTATGATGTTCAGGTTACAAATTGTCACAGCGGGAAATTTGACGGTCTATAAGAAAGGAAAAAGAGAAAAAGTAGCTTAACGAGACACTAGTCAACCAGTTCAGCTTATTTTGTTCTAGAATCGATGCCACAATCTCAGACAATGATTTTTAAGACTCACAACATCACTCTACTCTAGGTGAAATGATTTTGCCCCTGCCTCCTCCCCCCAGCCTCTCCCACCCTTTCCCCTCTGATAATCGTTGTGTGGAATGTGTTGGGTCTCTGCAAAACATACAAGGCAATATGTAAGCAATATGGAGAATTTCAACTTATCTTCAGACGTTTTGTTGGAAAATTGTGGAGATGTATTTACGTGCATCCACATGCATATACATATATATTATCAGAACTCACCTTATCAGCTTATTAGTTCGGATATTACTGAGATACATTTTCGGTCTTTTTTCAAAATTCTTCAGTAAGACTCGAGAAAACCGTATTTGTAATTGTTGTATGAAAGCTATGTCCATTTGCATGAAATTGAGTCTAGGTGAAAGTAGCTGAAACCATCAGTAGAACAGTAGAACTCACCCTTATGTAAGTGACGTCAATGTCCGACTTAGTAGGCTTGTCTAGGTACGTGTTAAGCAGCAGTATTCCCTGGTATATAACCATCCCCAGACACGCCAACGACACCAGTACCCAGAAAATACGCCAAAATACTGACTTGGCTGAGGATATCTTTATGGCGCCATGTGCGCTGGTTTCCTCTGCAAACTCGTGAAGGAGATCTCTCAAAGATGGTTTGTTCTTAGCCATTTTAAGGTCAGACCGACTTGAAGTAATTTCAGCATCAATTTTCCAGGTGTCGACTGAAGATGATCTTGATCTTAACTCCGTGCTGAAAGAAAAAAAAAGATCTCAGTTGTTAGCTAAAGAATGCCTGCAAACAATGACGTATTTTTCGCCTGTTTGGCGGTTGAGGAATCAAAATTGTTAACAATAGCTGAAAATTAAGCCTGTGGGTGTCTTTTTTTATCGATCCATCGGGTATATACAAGTTTACTTGATGCTGCCGAAATTATATTAGGACAAAAGGTTGAATATCCGGTTCGAAGGACTCACGTTATATTATGGGAATAACTAAACCGAGTCTAAATCTGGTATTCTTTTGATGATGATGATGATGATGATGATGATGATGATGATGATGATGATGTAACATTAACGGCGGTTTTTTTATCAATGCAGATTAAGCTAGACCAGGGTGAGTGACAAGTGACAAGGTAATATTTACTCTTAAAGGATATTAATTGAACAAGGAAAACTAAAAAACCCAGATGGCTCGATAAACAAACTCCAATCTTGAGAGTGAGGAAGAACTTGAAAAATAAACTTGTCCAGCAGAGAAAACTGTTTCAATTCATTTTTAATCGCTCCATTTATATAATGATCCACAGTGGCTGTTATTCGAGAAAACGGACTTTAGGGCTCGGGAAGAACTGACCCTATACTAGAAATAAGTCATAAAATGCTATGACAGAAAACTGGTGAATATAAAGCTTATGGGGGACCGGAAAGGGTATGCTTTTTAGCCCCGCTGCCCGGAACGGGGAATATGATCCTATCTGAGTCTCTCCTTAACAGGGGCTGAACCTGTCCTAAACAGGGTGTGTTGTAATTAACAAAAGCTTCTTATTAAAGATTTCTATAACAAGTGATTACAACTAAATTTAAACACCGTTTAGCTTGCATGATCATGTTAATGGCTATTTCCCTGCAGAAGAGCAGATATTTAATCGCTGTGTTTAGTAAAAGCAACTGGACCGAGTGGAGTGCAATTCAGGGAGTAACTGGACGAGTAAATTCAAATCGGACGAGCGCGAGGTCCAATTGCTAACAAATTTCGAAATTAATCCCTAAGTCTTTTAAGAACTTCATTTGAGCGAAAAAGTCAGTAACGCTTTCCATGTAGGAAACATTGAAAAGGAAGCTATTAAAGCGCACATAATTGACGTGCGAATGGCGCAAGTATCCAATTACAGGTATCTAATTACAAAAAGTTGTAATTGGACGCCCACGTGATCGCGCGCCGATTTATAATGGTAATAGGACTGAATGGAGTCCAATTCGGTCTGTAATCATACGAATGATTAACAAAATCGGACGACCGCGAAGCGGGAGTCCGATTTGTTAATCACGAGTATGATTAC